AGGTATATTTTTTGAGTAAAAGGGGGGATCTTAATAACTTCATAATCTTGATCGGTGTGGTTTAGAGCCACTGTGTTAGTACCTACCAGCATGCTCTCCTTTAGACGTGCAAGAAAACGTGGAATGCGAGTCTTTCAGTCCTCGGAGTATGTCGAAGTTTTCCCTGGATTTCTCTAGATACTGATCAGAATAGCGTAGAGCGTGAGCATTTTCAACGGCTGCATACAGTCACCAGTCTTCATGACATCGATCAGTCAAAAGTTCAAATGTCAGTAATTAGTAATAATTGTTAATTTCTCTAGAAAAGGATAGCTTTCATGACCATACGCTGTTCTCGACCTCCAGGTTTTCGAGATATAAGAAAAAGTAGTTGCCTTGTGTTGAGACCTAGAATGTTCATAAGACAAAAAACCTCATTAACTGACTTTCCTCTTCTTCCTGTAACTCTGCGCTTTACTTCCACGTTACTGATCTTGTAATCCCACACCACTGCTTACTCTCCAAGAGCAACGGTAGTCGAACACCCCAAGTCTTCTCATGTTCTCTGCCTCTAACGGTTGTTTCGCAGTCATAGGAGGACGGAGCGAACTGCAGCGCAGTAAGTGATGTAAGTTATAGAAAGGTAGACGGGCCTTTTGTATCCTTGCAGAGGTTTCTTCGATCATCGACTCACCGCGGGTTGATCCAACTGCACAAACAAATGAGGCGGTCAGCGCACTCAACCAGTTCACTACCTACTGCCGGACAAGGCACTAATAAAGGACAGTCCTGGAGCTATCATTCTCATTTGGGTGATGAAAAGGGCATCCTAAACTTTTTCGAACTGCTCATTTGGAGGCGGAAATATGGGTAATCGGGCCAGTACTTGCCAACTCCTTAGGGATGGGCTTAAGAAAGAAAGGCAGTCTACTGACTGATTCCACTGACCAAGAATAGAGTTATGATCTGTGTCCAGTTTTGGGTTGAGGTTAGTGGACGGTACGCCAAATTTTCTCTCTGGATGTCTACAGTTGTTCGCCGGAAATAGTTAATTGTCTGGGCACGTACGCCGTCTGTGGACTCGTGATATTTGACTGCCTACTAAGGGTCGGGTGTACTGTGTTGCAGCTCCCTCTGTTCTACTATGTGGCTGTGAAACCTGGTTATCAAAGTTAGGACACAAGTCTCCTGGTGTTTGACCACCCTTGCCTTCGTAGTATAGGCCGTGTCTCGTGATGTCATCACGTAGAGTTTTAGGAAGATGAGAAAAGTCAATCGATGCAGTTGTGAATCTTCATTGACTGTGATTGCTGTGATACGTGTTATGCATGCCTAGTCAGTTTCATCGCCCATTGGTTGACGTATGTTCATGCTGAGGCAATCAGGCTAAAACACGGCATCAGTGCATGAAGCCCTCGACGATTGATCTAGGCCATGTAGGGACATGCAAACTGGTTGTTTGGGGTCCACGTGACGAGAAACCAGTGGTTAGAGACTCTAGGTGACATGGTTCATAATGTCATTGCCGTAAATGTATCCACACGTTATCTTCGTTTTACTCGCCACACTAAATTTCAATATCCTCACTATCTTTTGCTCTCCTTTGATGAACTTCTACTTTCTTACTCATCTTTTAATATTTCATGCTTGTGCATTTTTGTTTAATGTGCTTATATGAAGTGTGGTGACTTGAACTGTTAAATAGTAATTCCGGGTCCTACGTTAATATTACTTACCTGTCCGTCAGAAATGAGCAAATAAACCTTCAGCAACAAGTCCATTCCGAGCGTAGCTCCACGATGTGGGTACTAAGGTGGTTTCTGATGAGGAACTAACTAAATAGTTATCGGAAGAGGACAACATCATTCACTCTGAAAAAACTTATCACCATCCTCAGTTTTCTGTAGAAACGACACTGTTCACCATAGGCGACTCTTAGAGCGGTTTTTTGCGGGCGCCAATGAGTCCAAGCAACTCATATGGACTGACAGTTTGCGCAATAACGTGGGTAGCGGTAGTTAGCGAAAGTTAAAGAGGGAAAAAGCCGAGATGATAAGTAACAGTTGACAGTTATTTAAAGTTATCAGAAAACTAGAACAAAAGTATAGTGGTCAATAAAACCATAGCGAAGAGGGATGGGTCTTCAATCTACTCAGAGAAGGGATGACTGGGAAGATGGGTGGATCACCTAGAGGAACAGCTCGTCTGGCCTCCAGTTGCCTGTTATTCAGTCGGATCGTGAGTGGAGCATCCAGATAGGACCCCAACACGTACAGAAGTCGATAAAGCCGTGAGCAATCTGAAACGAGAAAGAGCAGTAGGTCCAAACGAACTAGTGCCAGAGGTATTCAAGGAAGATGATCGTGGATTATTGGTCAGGTTAATTAAAGTGTTAGCTAGCGTAAGTCAGATATAACCACTTCCGTCGGTGATTGTCCTAGCCTTCAAAAACGGAGATAAATCCTCTAACGATAACCACAGGTAAGTCAGTCTGACCAACATGTCTAAGACTCTAGGTTGTATAGTCATTTGACGCCTAAGCGAAGCTTAGGAAAACCAGGCTGTTTGTAATTGCATCTACCATGAATCAACCCTCGCCGTGTTCTGAAACAAACACACTGGAACCGGATACTAGCTGTATTTTTTGGAACCAAAGATGGGATTAGACTTCGTCAACCAAAAGACTGAATAATAGTTTTTCTCATTTAAAAAAGTATCGATTACATTACTCCGTTCTGAATACCCTGTACTCGAACACGCATGGTTATGTTATAACCTGCGGTGGAACGTCATGTGAGCTGTTTGTCGAATGATGTCCTTCAAGAATGCCTACTCTCCGTTGTTGTTTGATTGTATCGTGAATGTGCTTTTAAAGGTTTCCCTTTCGTCTTTTGACCTTACAAGAGTTGGTCCTGTTGCAGAAGAATCCTGTAATGATCCTTCAGGACTAGTCTGCAACTACTTCCAGTTTAATTAAGGTGCCAGCCACTTCACTTGCTTGAAGAGTCGAGTCAGCTGGACCGGGCTGATACAGAAGGTCCGCCTGGTATTTGCCAATTTATATTATTTTCGGCGGCGACTAGCGAGATATCCGACTGCATATTGAAGGACATATACTCTGAACTACAGTCCATTCTTCCTTACCATATGGTTGAGAGACATGGTTGTTAAAAGTTAAAGAAACTATCGGTTTTGACCATATATGTCTTCATAAGACTGCATGTTCATTTATGGTGAAATTACCATTTAAGCAGGTTCGAGATCAGGCAAACCAGTCGATGAGGTTACTAATCTTTATCGACTGAGGTGGTTGGGGCATGTAATGCGTATGCCGAGCCACCACCTACCTCGAAATGCAATGCTAGAAGTTGGATTAGGTCGGAAGACGATTCAGGGTGACGAGACTAAGAAATAGCACCAATTCATGAAGTCTCTGTTGATCTGAGAAGTGTACGATAGTGTATATTACCTGGCTTGGGTCACCGAGATGAAACGAATCAGTTGTTGAGGGTTCTTTTCTTGGTGACATGGGTGAAAATTGGTCACAATGGTGCAGGTGTCTTCACTCTTTGACATCTTTTGAGGCTTGAATATTGGCACTAACCATTGTCTTCAACTTGAGTTGATGCAGTTGTGTGCGAGTTTCTACATTGGTTTTATCTGTCAGTCGCGTTAGGTGAACACTGACAAGATGCTAAATATCCTGGATGCATTGAGTGGCAACTTCAAAATCTTAGAAATACGTTTCTCACTGAATAAATGCAAGTCGTTGCTCCAGGGCTGGTCTTCGCTAGGAGTGAAGTAGTTGAAAATCCTTTCCAAAATGCCATTTTTGTCACCACTGTGTTATTAAAGTGCCTTATAAAGATTATTTACAGTTAGTGAAAAGTTAAGAATTTGTTTGTTTAAAATCCATTAAACTTTCGAACCAGCGATTTAGTATGTTACCTGTACATATGTGTTTTGTGCTAACATTGAAAGTTTTTCCTCTCCAGTTTCCCTTACTTTTATCAACTCGTCTTTCATTTTGGTATGACTCGTACAGTTATCTGCAAATAAATGCGCTAGATGATGCTCCAGGACTAGTCTACTGTAATCACTCCCAGTTTAATGATAGTGAAGTGGTGGAATGTGTCAACCACTTTTGCTCAAACGGGCTTTTTTCCGACGAAACCTATCCTGCTATGCGCTCTGAGACGTGGTCGCTCGAAGTAGATGACATGGAGCCATTACTAGGTTTTGATCACAGACGTCTTCATAGCATTCCTTGGGTTTGGTGGAATCACCGTGTGAGCGATATTGAGGTCAGGCGAAGCGTACTAGGCAAGACAACCAAGTCTATTGATGAGGCTGTGAACCTTGGTCAACTGAGATGTCTTGGACATGTACTGCTCTTACCGAGCCACCGCGTACCTTGATGCGCCATACTAGGGGAATCTATATTCTGTTGAAAGAGGGTTCAGAGTAACCAGACTTGGACGTAGCATCAGTGAACGAAGTCCCTGATTGTCAGTCTGAGTTGTGTTGGGAGATCTAGACTGCGTGGTTGGGGTCCCTGAGACCAAAGGAATCAGCGGTTGAGACTTTTAGTGACGGCTGAAAATTGGTCACAATATCGTGGATGTATTCACTGTTTGACGTCTTCGCAAGCTTGAATACTTTCACTAACTTTTATCTTCAAGTTGTTTATCCTCTCGCACGTCTTTATCCACCTGTTCTTTACATACTACTGTTAAGTTTGGCAACTTAATCCGGTGCACCTGTGTGCACGAGGTTCTGCCTGTCTTCTGTCTATTACTGAAATCATGTTTTATCTCATATTCGTATTTACTTAATTTAATCACCTCGAAAACGATATAACTTAATAATGTATGAGATATTATTGTAGATTTGATGAGTAACTAGTCTAAATTTTGTTGATTTATGTTCATTTCCTACTTTATAGAACTTATAAAATGTGACAAAAAAGCCAATGCTCTTGAAATCCTTTACGATGTGATGCGAGTTAGGCGAGCAAAACAATGGCAAAAGTCTTGGAAGAGTTGATGATGTTATTTGTTGAATTATGTGTGGAACTTAGAAAAAATATCCACTTCAGAAAAGCAATCTATCAGTATAAAAATATGAGTATCATGGTGAGATTTTTAAAAAAATTTCAGATATTCTTATTGATTAATATAAATTTAGGAGAATACTGTTTCATTGGAACAAGTTATTCGTTATTATCTAAGTCAAATAAAGAGTAGAACTGAAGAAGCTCAACAAGAGTCGAAGAGTGCTATTATGGATATTGAAGATTTGGATATTCTTGAAACTCCAGAAAGGTATGTTTGTTATACATATATCTTCTCATCACGAAAACTGTTTTATATTTCAGTTTCACCTCTATTATAATAAGTACACCTCAGTGTATAACAATATATTCTTTCCTATAGCTTCGAGATGTCATTAATAAAGCTGAGTAACAAGAGAAGGCCTCAAATATTTAATTTTTGACAGAGTGGTCGGTAGATCTACAGTATAATTACCGATTGCATAGAATTTAGGTTAGACGACGTTTTTGTAAAGGTGAATCGGATGACATGGTTGTCAATTCTAGACTATAAATAACGTTAGTCATTCTTACCGTCCACACCTAACCATTATCTATACCTATGGTAAAAAAGCCTGCTGTGTGACCAAGTAGGGGAATTCATCAGTTTTTAAATCTCTAGACAAGTCAACATTTGTAGGAATTTGTTGTAATTCTTTTCTTTCTACAAACCATTTAGAATGAAGTGAATTAGACCTAGCCAATGTTTTAGTTCCACGAAAGAATTTAGAGGGTTTGAAGAGTAGAAAAAATCGTGAAGCACGATATTCATGAAACATTTTATTGACTAGCGTGAGTATGTAAGAACCACTCACGTTGAACTGTAGGTTTTACTAACCCCCAGAGCAAAGTAATTTAAACACTGGTCGACCGTTTCGTTCGTTTGAGGTTGATCTTCTTAGAGGTGTGCTTGAATAAATTCATCTCAAAGCTAAATTGTTCACACCCAATGTATAGACTGTCTAATTGACATCAGGCTTCTTGCTGCTAGTGGGTTAGGTAAGCTGAAAAAGCCTCCAATTATAGCCAGATGCAACTGCTAACGGATACTAACGAGCTCGAAATGGAAATCATGTTCAACTTTATTTTGTGACTACTTCCGACTATTTATCATCAAAATAGTTTCATTATGATGAAGAGTTTGCCAGCTTGATAACCAGACCACAAAGTTTACTCAGCACTGTGGTTTGAAATATCTATACTAGTTACTATTTACTTGGATTGGTACTAATTGGAATCAGCAGAAATGGTTCCTTTGGATGAAATAGAGGTGTCAAAAGTTGGTTTTTTTTTCAGAAGTGTCTGACAGTCAAGTGGTATCATTAATTCTCACACCCTGGATGTGTTCCTCCATCGGTATACACACAACAAATATCGACGCTTTTTATTGATTAAATTATTTACTCCTTCCCACCTTTTTTGTTGTTGTTATAGTTTGATGTTGAATGCTGTTAGTATGGAGGGTACACAAGATCGATCGGCTAGAACAATTCTAATGCCATGGTTGAAATTTCTTTGGATTCATATCGTTTGGTGTTAGATTTGTTACGCAGCAACTCGAAGCTTGAATCATTATATCATGAAGTGGCTCATGATGGTAGGTTCACTCAATTCTCATTCTCTTTACTTTATAGCTTATAATTTCTGTTTAAAGTATGGTCGTAAAACAGAATTCAAAAAACTTTGTGAATTGGTATGTCATTTTATTATTTTTGTTGTCAACTATCCAACCTTTATGTATATTTTGTAAAGATTCGACAACACACTCAAAAAGTTCAGAATCAATTACAACCGAATGCACCTAATGCTATAAATTTGAATAATGTTGAAACACAGACACTACATTTTGAAACAAGATTAAAACAACTGGACTGTGCAATGGAATTGGAGATGTACAATGAAGCCTTTAAAACTGTTGAAGATATTTGGAGTTTTATGATGATGTTAAGAAAGCCAAGTAGTCCTTCGTTAATGACAAATTATTATTCAAAATCAGCTGAACTTTTCTTACGTTGTGGTTGTCATGTATATCATGCAGCAGCTTTACATAAACTATACACATTATATCGTGATCATAAAAAGAATTTAACACGTGAAGAACTTTCAAACCTTGGCTCTCGTGTACTCTGTGCAACTGTTGCCATTCCTTTACCGAATGCTAAAGTTAACGCTGATAAGTTTTTATTATCAGGCGAGTATACTGCAATGAAACAGAAAACACTTGCTGGTCTCCTAGGTAATTTTCTATTCACAATATCTTTCTCTAATATTATTATAATTTTTAGGTCTTCTTCAAGTACCAACTCGTCAAAGTTTAATACGTGAACTGGTTCGTCATAAAATATACACAATTGTTCCAACTGATTTAGCTAAGCTTTATCAGGTTCTTGAAGCAGATTTTCAACCTTTAAAACTTTGGGAATTAGTTCAACCATCACTTGAATATATGGCCAAATTTTCAGATCTCAAAGTGTACACAACACAACTTCATGATGTTATAGTCGCAAAGACATTACTTCAATTGTCTCAAGTCTATCAAAGTTTGAATTTTGAAGAATTTGTCAAATTGTGTCCATTCATGGAACCTATTCGATTAGAAAGAAGTGTCATTGAATTGATTCATAACTTGGAACTACCCATTCGTGTTAATCATTTACTTCAGGCAATCTTCTTTGATAAATTCACGGATCTTGGAATAAGTCAATGCGAATATGGTGGACAGTTAGTATCTCAGGTATATTTCTGCATAATTTTTCTTTTGTCTGTTTAATAATTCCAAAAGCATAAATCTACACACGTTCATGAATGTAAAAGTAAAATAGTATCGTTTACTGGACAACATTTCGGATATAATTTACTGTCCATAGTCAGATTAGGTAACTCCTTTATATTGTCCAAATTTTCTCTCCTTTGTGATGACAAGGGTAGTAGGATTCTTTATATAACTGAGATAGATGCAGAATCATTCATGTTATTATTACTATTATTTGTCCCTTGGGTGCCTAGTGGAATATAAGGCTTCTGTAGCAAATCTCCATTGCACTCTGTTCTCTGCAGTCTTCTCAACCTGGCTCCATCACTGCCCACAAGCTTTCATTTCTTCCTCACATGATCTCCTCCATATCACCCTTCCCTCCGACACCCAACTCCTCGTTTCCCCTGTGGCTTCCATTCGAGGGCCTGGAGCGTGATGTCTCCGAATGGTTTTCGCAGTGTATGCCCAATCCATCTCCACTTCCTTCTGCATATTTGTTGGGCAATAGGTTCTTGGTTGGTTCGTTGTCAGTTCAGAGTTCCTTCTTGCTTATTCTGGCCATCTGATCTCATCTTCAGTATCGAGTGAGTGTAGGCAGCAGCTGTTGATGAATGTCTGGAGTTTGTTAGAAATACCTTTCGTGACGCCAAGTTTCTGAAGCGTATAGCAGCACTGAGTTAACGTTGGTGTTGAAAATCCGTGTCCTGTTCTTTGTGCTCAGTGCAGTACATTTTCACAGTGAAAGCCTGTCTTGCTTTTCTGGTCCTGGTTTCGACATCCTCATCTGTACCGCCGCCTGTAGTTGAAACGATGCTGCCTAGGTAGGTGGGTGAAAAAGACTTCGTTTTGGTTTCTCCCATTGATGGTGATTGGTGCTTGTTGTTGATGCTGTTGTTGGTTGGGTATCTTCATCACCCCAGTCTTCTCTACATCCACTTGAAGTCCAGTCTTCGCTGCTTCTTCTGTCAACTTGTTGTTTTTTGTCTGTAGACCTTCGATTTTGTGGGATATTAAACACAAGTTGTCGGTGAAATGCAAATCTTCTTCTGGGTTCTTTTCATCGGTCCAGCCAGTGTATACCCGTCTCGCTCCTCACAGATCATGGGTGATAGTGGGCAGCCTTGTCTTACTCCTGTCTTCACTTCAAAGGCGTCACTGAGCTTTCCATTGTGGATCACTTGGCATGTGGCGTCTTCATGTAGCTGTTGAATTAGATTAATAAAAGTTTGTGGCAGTGAAACCGTAGTGTTAAGGCAGTTTCCAAATTACTTGTCGACCGACGCTATCCAAGCCCTTTTCAAAGTCGATGAAGTTGAGGTAGAGAGTTGACTGGGATTCTATGGTCTGTTCTATGATGATGCGTAGCGTAGCGTTGCGATTCGGTACGCACACGATTTGTACTTCCTGAAGCCAGACAGCTTATTCCGGTCGTAATTTTGAATCCAGCGCATTGTTTAGTCTCTCCAGGATGATGGAGCCTAATATTTTGCTTGGGGTGGACATGAGCATGATTCCTCGCCAGTTCTTGCAAAGACTTGGTTCTCCCTTCTTCGGGAGTTTGACAAGGTAACCCTTTTTCCAATCCATCATCAGGTACCTTTCCTTCCTTCCTTCCTTTCTTGCAAACCTTTTGCAATAGTGGTGTGAGCGTATCCGCTGTTGTCTCTGTGTCTGTTTTCAGTGCTTCTGGCGGAATTCCATCTGGTCCTACTACTTTCCCGGATTTCAGCAACTTTATGGCGTTCCGGAGTTCTACTTTTGTCTCAGGGCTTGTGTTCACTAGTAGTTCTGCGGTTACTGGTGGTATTTCTGAACGAGTTGCAGATGCTTGTGGTGGTCGATTGAAGAGTTTTTTGAAGTGGTCAGCACATTGTTTCCTTTGTTTCTTCTCTTTGGTAACTAGATTTCCCTCACTATCTTTCATTGGTTTCATCTGCGTTGATCTCTTCCCAGACAGTAACCTGGTTATTTGATATAATGTCGTCAGGTCTCCCCTATCTGAAGCCTGTACTGCTTCACTTGGCAGTGTATCGTAGAAGTGTGCTTTGTGTTTGCGCTCACTCTTCTTCACTTCTTTGTCCAGTGTAGTGTTGTATAGGTTGCTTTCATTTCCTCTTTTTGTGGTTCATCCTTGGACCGGCTAGTAACTAGTGAACTAGTTAACCAGGCGAGGTTAGTCATTCCTGTCACTGCTTGCATTTGGTGTTCATTCGGTGAAGAAAGATTCGGTTATCAGTCTCTCCCTCCCTCCACCCAACTAGGTTTTTAATGCTGTCGCTCTATCCCACCCTGCTATGTGATTGTGTACAGAGCTATAGCTGAGCTTTTTTCTAAATTTCTTATCTTATTAGGACTTACCTAACTTGATTTAGCTAAGCTTTTGTACTGTCATTCTAATCACCCCTAGTCGACTATTTCGACCTATCTATTCGACCTCACCATCCTTGCAAGGGTTTGGTGAAGCGATGAGTGGTGGGTTAGCGAATCAGCAGAAATGCCATCCTTTACTAGGATGAGGCACATCTAATTGGTGAATGCCAAACAGAACGGAACGTGTTAGTCTGCTTGATAGGAATGTCACAGTGAAGTGACAGTATCATTTACTGGATAACATTTCTGACAGAATTTATTTTTCATAGTCACGTCAAGACAACTCCACAACTTTTTCTATATATCTGGGAGAGGTGCAGGGTCATGCCTATTGCATGTATTTGGTGTCGATTCGATGAAGAAAGATTCGGTTATCTATCTCTCCCACCAAACATTTAGTCCTACTCCTAGGATATGATTCTGATGTGTGGATGACACATTTAAAGTACTGAAATCCGAACAAATCTATGGGTTCTTGACGCATAAATTCAGTAATGAATGCATTCCGATTCACCTATGATTTAGAAAGTGATAAAGGTGAGTTAGCAATTTTGGATTGCAGGATTAAACGAACACGACGTTGTTTAGAGACTAGTGTCCCATTCGGATGCCTAATTAGACTACAAATCATCTCATCCCATTTCAGTTGAATACCTAACTGATAAGGCGGTAAAGCTTACTAGTAGACCAGAAAATCTACGACAGGAAATGAGACATTAAGAATATCTTAAATCTCAATGATAACCCACCTACATTTATAAATAAATTTATAAGAAATAGGAAGAAAAATATAAGCAGTATTAGTAATAATGATGACAGGGTTGAAAGAGAATTCAAAGGCTCTTCTGTGTTAGCATACAGAGAAGGCACCTCAGAAGCATTACGTAGAATTCTCAATGAGTGTCATTTAAACCAACAAACTGGCTTAGAAACAAGCGTTGTAGGTTAAAAGATCCTACTGATGCAATTAAACAGAATAATTCTGTTTATCAAATCCCTTGCAATAATCGTGAGGTCAAATACATAGGTGAAAGTAGTTGACCAGGGTCGATTAGAATAACAGAACACAAAACTTTGGCTGAATGAACATGATAAGATCCTAATAAAATAAAGAATGTAGAGGAAAAGCTTAACTATAGCTATGCACTCAATGATACATAATCACGCAATAGGATGGGAAAGTGCAGCAGTAATAGAAAACTAATTTAGTTGATTGGAGGAAGAGATTGATAACCGACTGAATCTTTGTTTATCGAATCAACACGAAATACATGCAGTAACAGAAATGGTTTTGCACCCGTCACTGATATATACTTGTGGAGTTACATGATATGAATATAGAAAATAGATTCAATATTCAACATTTAATCCAGTAAATAATACTGTTTCATTGTGCAACGCATCAAATACACAGACTAGACATCGTCCATAGACTGAAGTTCAGATCATACTTATTATATACAACAGCCAGTAATACGACCTAATGATCTTAACTAGAGTAAACGTAATGTTACTGGAACTTATGATCCATTTATGAAGTAATTAGTTCCAGAAAGATGAATTATATTTCAAAATGAGGTAGTTTTCTTGATCACCATTGTGTTGTGTGTCACTGATCGAAACATTGTTTTTATACATACAAGGGGCGGCTGCACATTGAAACAGCACAGTGACAAGTAATTACTAAGGTAGGTGCAGACTACTGACATAGATAAGTAATAAGTATAGTAATGAAGGTAGATAAAAAATAAACAAGTCTATATCAATGGTATCCACTTCCAGTTATGCTATCGAGTGGTACCATTAACAGAGAGAAGCGCTTCACCTTATTGTTATCTAAGGCCTGTGTTCCCCAAGGTAGCCCTCCTTTCTTTCTTTCTATATGACCTAACACCTTTACCTAGTATCAGTTTTATCGAGTGCGCTAACAGTTTCCATACTCAAAAGGTCTTGTGCGTAAGTTTTCTAAATCTCACACTATAAACTTTAATTCCATAGACGAACATAACCCACATAAACTGCTTAGATCTCATAGTTCCTGTTCTATTGATGGTTAGGCATTCGAAAGTGCTACAAGTGTGGTTTATCTGTGGTCCTCCAATATCTTACTAATTTTCAAGAGAATTTTCAACCTAACTTTCTATATTAGGAAGCTGAGAGTATCTGGTTATTACTTGTATTTTTATAAACTCATGCATCTTCCCTGTTTTCCTCTATTATTCCCCTTTATTCTTTCCTGAGTTGTTGAAAAAAGACTATGCTATATTGTGTAGAACTGTGAAGATTGTCAAATAAGCCTTATAATTTAAATTGTTGTAGATTAACATCTTAACTCCTGTAAATCAAACTGCCAGGAGTTGTTTTGTCAGATGACCAGCATCCTCTTCACTCAAAGCTGTCTGAGTATCGGTCGTCAGGAAAGACCGGTAGCAAGCATATATATATATATATATATATATATATATATATATATATATATATATATATATATATATATATATATATAGTTAGAACAAGATATTCAGCGAAGAGAACTCTTTTCAACGAATTTATTCTCAAGCTGTACATTCGTATATATATGTGATATTTACGTATACAAGAACATATTCCGGCCTGGTTTTATAAGGGTCAAAGGAAATGCATCAGAAGTTCTGTCCTTGAGCATTTAATCGATTCCAACCATTCAGCCGACCCAAACAAGGATTTCAAGGTTGTCTATCGAATTCACCCTAACACTTCACGTTTCCTCCGTGTTCAGCTTCTAAAAAAACCAGAGGTCTTGGCTATCCATGAACTGAAGCCTGACTTTTGTGTGCAAAAGAAGTACGTACAGTCTTTATCTCTAACTTGGGCTTAATTTATTTTAGTCTTGGTGGGCTTCGTCCTTTTTCCATTTTTCACCCCTTCCCCTTTTTTTGTCAGATTAATCTTTGTACTCTTATATCGTCATTATCACTCTTTTTTTTGTATTTATTTGTTCCCGGTATTATTTCATTTGATCTTCCTAATAATCGCAACTTTTAACAAAACATTTTCAATTTACTCCAATTAACTTGTCTCATTTATATTACCTAATCCTTTGATTGTTTATTAACGTTCTCACCCCTTTTAATCTATATGCACTTTATAAACGATTTGAAAGTCTTACGCAACCCCTTTTTGTTACCATCCGACCTTTACGTCATCAACTATCAACATTATAATTATTACCACCATCATTATTATTGTTTCAACCCCCCATTATTTCAGTTAAATCTTCCTCACGGATTACAGTCCTTAAATATCATATATATATATGAATGTACAGCTTGAGAATGAATTCGTTGAAAAGAGTTCTCTTCGCTGAATATCTTGTTTTTGATGTCACAATGAGAAGAATACCGTATTAAGCTCGTCTCCTGTGCGATGAAGATAGTATTATACATAAACTAATCAGCTTCTGTTTTTGAAAGGAAACTATCTGTTAAGTACACAGCTTGCTATTATTTTCACTTGCTGTGAATCTAATTGCGAATGTGATTACATTTTGGGGAAAGTTGTAGATGGAGTAAACATTTTTATCTTATGTGTCTAATTTATGCTTATTTTATTAAGTAAACATATAAACTGTTTCTGTCCAATTGATGCTATATGATGTCTTAAGAATTCTGTACAGTATTCCAAAAATGTAGCCATTATTTCAAGTTCGTATTCATCACGGGCTGACATTAATTGGAGGAACATTGTAAACCTGAGAGCACTGGACAACTGTTTCATCCTACTAGTATGGGACTCAACAATGCGCATCCATGACCCCACTCCACTAGGGATCGAACCCAGGGCCCACACTGTTTCGACGGGGAGTCGTGACTGGCGGGGTGAACCGCGTGCACGTGAGGACAATTACTCAATGATGATATTCAGTACTATATCGTGAACTGATAGGAGTTGTAAATATAGACCATTGAGTTCCAACCCAGTGGCTGAATAGTAACGTACTGGCCACAGAACCTGTAGGTACTGGGTTCGATCTTTAGTGGGGTCATGGATGCACACTGCTGAGGAGTCGCATACCAGTAATCTCAGGTTTCTGATGTTCCTCCAACTGATGTTAGTCCACAGAAACCTCCGGAGTTGAAAGCTGTTAGTATGAAATCTTCAAGCATCACCAGAAAAATGTTATGCTATAAATCTTTTTCAAGAAATGACTTCATATTGAACATTCAAAGCCTAGAAATTCTTAGTTATCATAGAAAAAACGCTAATTTTTTTATCCGTATCAGAAGATTTTTTTAACCTGCCAAAGTTCTAGTATTATCAAAAACAGTATTCAAGTTTCAGATCCTACTCATTGTATTGATTATGCCTTCATCTTGCATTTTATTCATTTCATCTAGTCGACACATGTCAATGATCCTGACAAATTATCTCGTCAGCTTACAATGTTTGCACAAGTGATGCAACAAATCACTGATATCTTAGAAGTCGATCAATCTTTAGCTAATTGTCGACGTGTTTTAGTCCATGAATATCGAAGGAATGAGCATATGTTACACACTGAATTGCTTAATCGACGTTATCTAATTGAGGCACGAAAAGAAGAAGTTGAAACATATCAAGATAAGCGTGATCAGGTAATTGATTTCTTTTCATTACTAATTAGTGTATAATTCAATAGCTAATATGACTATAGTAATGTTGGATAGTGGCTAGGAGTGGAATCTAGGATACGCATTTTGTCCTACTTGGGTGGGACTCGTCAGCTGGATGTACCTGCCTCCCTCCACATAGGAGCTCATATGCCAAAAGAGATCGATCAATTCGCTCTAATCAACGACGGTATAATACAAGTGATAACACTCAAACCATACCCATCGCGAAAGAAGTGGCTATCGTGGCTTGGTGGTCTAGTGGACAACGCTCTGGCGTTTGAAGCGATCGCTCCCGGATTCGAATCCCGGTGGGAACAACATCACTCACAGGTACATCCAGCTGACGAGTCCTATATAGGTCGAAATGCGCATCTTGGATTTCACTGTTAGCCACTACCCATCATTAATATATATAATTAAAGCACAGGTGATTTCGAGGCATCTGCACAGGAGCCCATATGACAATAGAGACCGATCACTTCGGTCCAATCAATGACGGTATATTACAAGCAATAATACTAATATGACTATACTTTAAAAATTGTTTAGTATTATAGTACTGTGGAAGCACAACGTCATGCTGAACAACAACGTCTTTTGAAAGCTGAAGAAACAAATCTTGTCAATGAGGCTATGCAACGTGAACGACTTAAAACAGAAGATGAAAAAAATCGATTAAAATTACGTATGGCACGCACTAGTTTGAAAATGTTTTTGGATTTAAAAATTGATACAAAATTGGACTTAAAAGAATTGACAGAAGAACAACTTGAAAATTTTGATGCTGATAAACTTATCAACAGACAGGTAATTTTCAATGTCTATGACCTTTTTTTTGAAAGTGTTTTCGCTTATTGACCTCACACTGATAAGTATGCTTGCTCAAATGAAGTATGCCTGGACTATAGTTTCTTCTGTTCTACTCTCTGACTTGGAAACTTTACCATTAAAGGTAGGGGACATGAGAAGTTGCCTGGTGTTGTTTGACCATTGTTGCCCCTTTGTAGTATAGAATGTGTGTTGTGCTGTCACCATATGAGTAACGCAGAAGTCAGAAATAGAGTTCGACGGATGTGATTGTGAACTTTCATTGAGTGGGCTGTCTGTGACTTGTAACATTTTTCACATACATCATCTGTGGCACTGACTAGTGAGATGTCCAACTATCAATCAACGAACTAGCATACTGTACTGCAGTCCGTTGTCACTTGATACGACTACAAAATATAGCCGTTAAAAGAAGACAGGGTTTTGATCACAGATACGTCTTCATCAGATTGCTCATTTTTTCCATGAAATCACCGTGTGAACAATGTTGAGTCGAGATGAGGGGTACTAGGCAAGTCGATTGATAAACCTTCATTGGTTGAGGTAGCTTAGATATATGTTGCACACGCCGAGCCCATCATCTGCTTCGGTGTGCAGTGGTAGCAAAAGTTGAAAGAAGGTTCAGGGTGGCCGGATCATGACGTGACACCAGTTGGTGAACTCCCTGACTGTTTTTTTGAGCCGTATGGACAGATGTAGACATGACTGAAAATCGGTCACATTGTCGTAAATGTATTCACTCCTTGACGTCTATTTTCAAATTGTTTATTCTCTTTTGCTATCACACCTGATACAGTTGTCTGCGAGGTTCTACGTTGATTTTATCTGTCACAGTCACAGGACTATAATTCTTCAGTGTTTATTTATTCTTTCCAATGTTGGTTGCCTACTATCCCCCATGATATTCCTTATTGTGGTGGACTGGATCATGCAGCAAACATTGGGGAGCGAGAAGAGGGGGATACACTGGACGGCGGAAAAGAACCTAGAAGACTTGGATTTCGCCGATGACTTGTGCCTAATGTCACATAAACTTGAAGATCTGCAGGCAAAAACTAACAAGTTGATAGAAGAGGCAGCGAAGACGCGACTTCAAATGAAGATACCGCACCACCACCATCAACAACAACAACAAACTCCAGTCACCATCAACGGGAGAAACTTAAAGGAAGTAACCTCCTTCACTTATCTAGGAAGCACTGTTTCAACTACAGGCGGGACGGACGAGGATGTCAAAGTCAGAATCGGAAAAGCAAGACAGGTGTTCATTAGCCTGAAACCAGTGTGGAGATCTTCTGCACTCAGCATGTGGAACAAGATACGGATTTTCAACACCAACGTCAAGTCAGTGCTTCTGTATGGTTCAGAGACTTGGCGCGTCACGAAAGGCATTTCCAATAAACTACAGACATTCATCAATAACTGCTTACGCTCGCTACTGAAGATCAGATGGATTGCCAGAAAGAATAAGCAACAAGGAACTCTGGGAACGAACCAACCAAGAACCTATCACGCAACAAATATGCAGGAGGAAGTGGAGATGGATTGGCCATGCACTGAGAAGGCCGACTGAGGACATCACGCGTCAGGCCCTCGAGTGGAATCCCCATGGGAAGCGACGAGTTGGACGTCCGAGGGTGACATGGAGAAGGTCGTGCGAGGAAGAAATGAGAGGTTGTGGGCTGTCGTGGAACCAGGTTCAAAAGATCTCAGAGAACAGGATGAAATGGAGACGTGCTAGTGAAGCCCTATGTTCCACTAGGAACCCAAGGGACTAATAATAATAATAATGTTGGTCACTTTTTAATGTGCTTGTATAGTCAATCTACCATCTAACATCCACCAGTTTGGTTGGTCTGTCAATGACGGATTCACGTTTCCTTTGACGAGTTCTTGTAGAGTAATCTAATGAATTCAGTGTATGAGTAGCGTTTACCTTCAGTTGACATTGATTTGGCAATACTTCTTATTTATTTAGCTTGACTGTAGAAGTTATTCTTACAGCTAGTTTCTTCTCACAAACAAGGATAACTATACAACCGTTCAATAAGTTTTTTCCTCTCCAATTTTCTATTTTCAATGCAAGCAAATACACACACAGACGCATATTTGTGCATATGTATTGATTAGTTGTGATTACTCTAGAAAATTTATGATCGGAAACGGTAATGGTAAAAGTAATTGAGGAAAGGGAGAACAAAGTGTGTTTACTTGGGATTGCTCCTCTTTTCCGGTTTTCTTTTGTTGTGAAATTATTCCACAGGTAACCAATTGATTATGAGAAAAAATTTCTCTCTGCCTTCTTTCGTTTTGGTATTTGTGGAGCTTTCGCCAACTTAAACTATCTGTGGCGCCGTCACAATATACGACTGCCTATTGCGGATCGAGGAGCTCGTCGAGTGGTATCCGTCAAGGATGCCCACTCTCTCCATTCTTACTCAATTTTATCATAGATATTCTTATGGAGGTCTCCCTCTCGTCACCTGACTACACAGAGGTTGACGTGATTGCGGGAGGATTTTCGTTAGACTCAGAATACGTAGATGACATAGTCCTGTTAGGTAGAGACGCTGACAAGATGCAGAGTCTTCTGGACACTTTGAGTGGCAATTTGATAATGTTTGGGATGCGTTTCTCACCACCAAAATGTAAATTGTTGCTCCAGGATTGGTCTTCAACGGTGCCTCGGCTAACAGTGGAGATTCTAATGGTTGAGTGTGTTGACCACTTCACTTAACCGGGAAGTACTATCAGCCGCGGTGGCTCAGTTGCCGATGAAATCTCCGCACGAGTACAAAAGGCTTGCCTGGCCATTGCCAACTTACGCCACGTGCGGCACCGTCGTGATATCCAATTTTCTATTAAGGATCGTGTGAACTGCACAGCAGTCCGCTCTGTTCTACTGTATGTCTGTGAAATATGGTCATTGAAGGTGGAAGACATGAGAAGGCTTCAGGTGTTTGACCACTGTTGTCTTCGTAGTATAGGCCGTATTCCGTGGTGTCACCATGTGAGTAACACAGAAGTCAGGCAGAGAGTTTTAGGGAGAAGAAGTAAGCCAGTGGGCACGGTTGTGAACCTTCATCGACTGAGATGGCTGGCTAGGACATGTGTTACGTATGCCTAGTCGCCGTCTGCCTCGTCACACAATGTTGGCTGAAGTAGGTTCAGGCTGGAAAAGGCTCTATGTGGCCAGACCAAAACGGCACCAATGCATGAAGTCTTTACTGTCGGTTTGAGCCATGTGGGGGCGATGCAGATTAGCCGGTTGAAGTCGGTGGGACAAGGACAACCAGTGGTTGTAGACTGTAGGTGATGGTATGGCTCAGAACCGATGTCAGTGCTCCAGATGTATACACACATTATCCTCATCTTAACTAAGCTATACGGAATCTCACCATTTTCTCATTCTTCCTTTCTCTCTTTTAGTACTTTATATTTCCTTTGACCGAATTTTCTTATCTTTATCTTGCGCCTCACTGTCTTTTTACTTGATGTACTGATATGATGTGTGGTAACTCGGACCGTTACTCAGTAATGTCTGGTCGTATGTTGATTTGGATGGGTGGATTATGGGTCGAGTGAACTGGACTACAGTTCGCTGTGAAACCTGACCCTTAAAGGTGGAGGACATGAAAAGGCTCTTGGTGTTTGACCACCGTCGCCTTTGTAGTGTAGACCGTAAATCGTGGTGACTGCGTATCAGTAACGTAGAATTCAGCAGTAGAGCTTTCGAGAGGAGAGGCGAGTTAGTTGATAGTGAGGTTGTGAACTTCCATCGACTGAGATAACTGGCTGAGACATGTGTTACGTACGCCTAGCAACCATCTGCCTCGTCGCACAATAGTAGCTTATGTAGGTGAAAGCTGGAAAGGGCTCTGTGTGGTCACTCTGAAATATGGGATCAGTGCATCAAGTCTTTAACTGTTTTTCTGAGCCATGCAGGGCAGTGCACTGATTGGAGTCCACGTGGTAACAGGAACCAGACTCTAGGCGGCATAGATTACTCTAATGACCTTACAGAATTAAGCATTTTCTCACCCCTCTTTCCTCTTTTTTACACTGTTTCCTACCAATTCTTTTTTATTTCTTCACCTTTTATCTTATTGTTTTGTAACTTGGTGTGCTGATATGAAGTGTGGCAACTGAGACGGTTCTGTAGTGATGCTTGATCTTATGTTGATATTGATCAATTGGTTCATATTTTGTCACCTGCGCCTTTTGACCAGATAAATTAACCTATAAAGAAGTCTTCAGGTGTACCATCATCAGAAAAACGTCTTTTAAGGAACCGATATACCTAGTGAAATCAGTTTTTCCATGTATTTCATGCCTGCCTAGGTATTATTTTATGAGTTGATAATAATTTTTTGGAAAATAATCGCGTTACACCGTGTGTATGACCACTTAGTTGATGAATAGCGTGGGGAGTATGGGAATTCCTGGTGAAGCATAGTAGACATACAATGGATTCGGAAGCTTTTTCACCACTCACATGGAAAACAGTTACACCACATGGAGTTACCGAAATGTAATGACGATGTAAACTGGATCGTTACAATCTGACTTTTTTTCCTACCTACCTTCACTTCAAATAAGTTTCTACTTAAACCAATTAATCTTTGATCTTTTTTGAGTTTCACTTTGATATACAAGTTTTCTTATTCTCTATACTATGCTCTTGTCTTAGAAACAAGAGGTAAAGAAAAAACGAAAAGAAATAGCAGAGAAAGCTAAGACAATGGCTAAAAAATTGGATTATTATACACGTGCTTGTCGACTTGAAGAAATTCCATTGTTACAAGCTAATATTGAACCGGAGGCAATTCAAGCGCGTGAATTATTTGAACAGAGTACTAGAGAGATTGAAGAACACTCAAAAGCTGAGCATGCCCGACAACTGAAAGAGCGTAATCGGCTTATTCGAATGAAATCTGATGTACAGGTATGTGTTGTTGTTTTTTCCCAGACTATTTTCACTGTGTTATATGGTGTTTCAAACAAATTTTCAAGAATTGCAGCTAATATATAATGTATATAAGTCTTGATAGTTGTGTGAGTGGTGAAATTTCCAACCGTATATCGAAAGCTAGAGTGGCATACGCTAATCTGGGTCACCTTTGGCGCCGTTGCGACGTTAGTCTGATCGTGAAAGAGCGGGTTTACAATGCTTCGGTGCTGGCAGTTCTGCTCTATGCTTGTGAAACCTGTCCTCTCTGAGCTGAGGATATGCAACGACTCAGTGTGTTCCATTATCGTTGTCTTTATACGATTGCTCGTATCCGGTGGCGGCAGCGTGTGTTTGGTCTTGATGGAAATCGTCATTCAATGGGTGGAGTCATCTAGAAACACCGGCTTCGGTGGTTTGGACATGTATGTCGTCGTAACGGCTTATACGCCGTTCATTGTTTGCTAACCCTGAGACTGAGTGGAAGAAGTTGACAGGTGGTCAGTGTATCGTGTGGCACCGTGATATACGAAGGATAGTTGTATAGGCTTATTATCTTTTGGTGCATTACCACTTCGTGGATGGTGTCCGAAAGATCAGGCAACTCCGTGGCGGTCTTGCCGTAGCTTCCGTCTATCTTCTACTGCTGAAAAGTAATGAGTGTTTCGTTCCGAATATATCTACCTTACTGGACTGCCCTTCTAATCATGCTATTCTTATTGTTTTTCCTTTTTAACTTATCCACTTCCCTTGGCTTTATGTCTTCATAATGTTGTTATACTGTTTTTTGAGGCGCATTTCTCGGTGCTGTTGCTGTACCATGTTTGTGTTCTAATAACTAGTAGAGGAGTTGTGACTCCAGTGGTTTAGAGGGATGACTATTAACCATTGGGGCATGGGTTCAAACCCCATCCTGCCTACTGAGGTTTGGCCAGCCAAGTAGTAATACCATTAGCCCTCATACCACAATAGGTGTGGTTCATTGCCTACTACACGAATATGCACAAGGTAGCTGAATGTGTTTCTTTCTCGATACTTGGTAGATGTAATGACTTATAAACAAGGGACTCATCCATATGAGTTAGCGTTCAGATATGCATTGCTCAAATTACCTACTTGATTGTAGTATGAATCCTTCAGTTTTTGTAAGAGACTTAAATATCCTGAATTTCACAAAAGGTCTGGCAAATAGGGTTTTACTTGAACTTATAAAGTCACAGATTTAAACTCCGCTTCGTGTTGATTCAGCTTCAAGTTTTTATCGTATAACACTTCTCATAGGCAGTATTCTGAGTGAAAATCAATATTTTTGGTCACCACCTGTTAAGGTAGAAGTCAGGAAAAACCTTATTGGATGATTTTGTCCTACAGCTAACCAATCAAAATAAGTTATTTAACTTCTGACCTAGTTATTTTACATGTTGATGAAAAGTGTATATAAATGATGTATTTTCGTCGAATAAAGTGTTTTACTTACAGTCTTAAGCCAGCCATTTCACGTCTCAGTGAACTATAAAGTCCTGAGGGGCGGAGGGAAGTCGGTATTTGTCTCAGGTTCAAGTACCTCATAGCGTTATTATCTTTATTACGTATTTAGTATTATTCACTGGGTTACCTTCGGTTTCGTATCAAGACATTGTACAGCCACTCATAACGCATTTTGTACGGTTAATTACCACTTCACATGGGTCGATATGAATGACGTTACATTTTAACGGTAACAAGAATAATCGGAAATGATGCATTCATTATCATTCACATGCGAATAGTTCATCTTTCATACTGTGATGTCATGATTCAATGCTGAAAGTGTCATTTGCCAAAATTTTCAGCTCAAACTGTTATGCATACCTTACTGGAGGCTGTTTTTTGACTATAAAATGGTACCACTATGTATAAAATTGCACAACTTTGGTGTATTTTGTGATGGCTAACAGAGGAATCCAAGACACGCATTTCGTCCTACCTAGGACTCATTAGTTGTATGTATCTGCCTCTCAGTGAGTGATGTTATTCTTTATGAGACTCGAACTGAGTACCCTGTCGCTCCAAGCACCAAAGTGTTATCCACTAGACCACTTGTGCAACAGGTATTAGTTGCCGCATGATTACAATATGACTCACTGGGGTCTAGGTACATCTAGCTGATGAGTCCCAAATAGGACGAAACACGCCTAAAATCCACTGCTAGCCATCAAGTAGACTTTAACACAGTGAATAACCGGGCAGTATCGAATCACCCACATAGGGGAGCCCATCTACCAACTCGAGATAGTCTAGCAACTGTTAATTACAAGTATCAAAAAACAACAGATAGGTGCACGATTGTTTCTTTGTATGTGTAGAACAATGATTGATGCCTGGAAAAAAGTGTATAAGACTACTGGCTACAATATATTGACATAAAAAGCTGTTTCAAAAATGTATCTCTGATATGTCGAAGAAAATCGGAGTCTTCGTTTTCTTGGTAATCTATTGTTTTCTTTGAATTGCTTCTTAGCGTCTTGTCAGTCAGTTGAAGGAAGCTCGTGATAATCGGTATAAGGCGAAGCTTGCGGAATGGGAAGCTTTGTGTGATCAAACTCGATCTGAACGACTGGCAGATTTGAAAGCTAAACGAGACGCTGAAGCAGAAGCTGAAGCACATCGTCGGGCAGCAGAAGAAGAAAAAGAACGTGAGGCTCAGAAACAACGTGAACTAGCTGCTGAAGCAGAGCGTATTAAACGAGAACAAGGTATTGTCCATATAACTGTATTAAGTATTATTCATCGATACTTTTTTTATTTACCTTTGTTATCCTCGAAGGAACTAATCAACCTCTGTTGGCATAGGGACTGCTATGTGAATTCCTCGATATTGCCTGATTAATCATCATGTTTTCATCCCAATGAGGTGATGGTGTGTTCTCATAGAGACTGGAGGCTGATACCCATCGTCTCAAATGCCAGGGCGAATTGTCTGATTCGCTATCGCGGGTATCAGTAGATGATCACAAGCCAACATCGATTATCTCATATATCCTTAGGACTTATCTACTACAGCTACCAGAAGACTCAAGAACTGTTCAAGGATTGAAGCTGCAACAGCGATATATAAATAACGGCTTCAATTTATTGTCGGCCAGGTTTATTCACTACTCTAAACTCATCGATTTAATTGATGAAATGGACATGAATGCGTCTACTGTTATTTAGCTGTAGATAAAATGATTAGAAGTGATATGTACTACGTTTTGGTATTTTAGTAGTCAAAGTTTTTCACTGTGTTTTCCCATGTTTACTACAGAAGCTAAGGAGGCAGCTGAACGTGAAGCTGCACGACGAGAAGAAGAGTCTAAAGCTTGGATACGTGGAGAAGTTAAAAAAGGTTTGTTTCACATGTTGAGTATATCACTTTTGATTTAGTAGTCTTCATCCTCTAGGTTTTATGTATATTGTTATATCTTTGAGCTAACCCCTTACATCCTATCCATTATTTCAGTTACGTTAAGACATGTGTCATGAGCACATTTCTCCAGGTCCATCTGTAGATGTTCTAAAAAAACTCGTATTTCATTACGCTTCAGTACTTCACACCTATAATCTCTAGGGAAGATCTACCTAGAACTTCTACTGCAGCTGCAGGAGATCACTTTATTCACTTGACTTTCTATCAATGACCCCTGAGTTCGAATCCCACCCCACCTAACAAATGGTAGACATGCATAATGCATGTCGTGACTATCTCAATCAATCTAGGTCTACAACCTCATTAACTGACTTTTCTGTAAACTCTACGCTTAACCTCCTCTACATTATTGACGTAGAGGTTCTAAATCACCTGACCGGTACTACTAAGATAAGGTAATTGTGGTTGGATCTTAGATTCAGCTGAAGCAGTGAGGTGGGTTTTCTTCTACCTGATGTACACGGACATTATTAGCCAGGTGATGAACACCAGTTTTACCGACATCAGTTGATTTTTATCAGTATTCGGCCCCCATTGAAGAGTCTAGAGTGAAAAAGCTGGCTGATTGTGATACCACTCTTGAGATAGATTAGTCAGCCAGCCAGCCAGCCAGCCATTGAGACTTGACCCTACCAGCCATCATTTCGAACATAAGAACGTTACCCACTAGTCTAGTCAGTCATAACAACCACCTCTTATGTAAAGAGTAGCATCTGCTATTGATTCATGCTTATAAGAAAACTCAGTTTTCGCATTTCATCTATTGTGATAGCAAAAATTGTAGATACAAGAATGAAATTAGTATTCTTTAGTCAGTCAATTGCATACTGTTTCGTTTAATGGATACCATAACTATAATAATGTTTGGTTTTCTTAGAAGAACCCATGGCCGGTACCGATTTTGGTCGTACACGAACATCAGAAGTCATAGAGAATCGCGGTAGGTCTATTCTATGTCGTTGTTCTCTTGTTTTACAAATCTCTGATTATTTCAGCGTATTTTTTCATATCATAAGCAATTACTGTGTTGACTAATATTGTTAACTGTAAGATACTGAATAATTGTGTTATGCTTGGTCTTTAATACCTGATAGTAGTGTTGAGATTCCCGGATACGGTTAGTTAAGGACGTGTAATCTGGATATCGAGTAAGACAAGGCTGCCCACTGTCACCCATGGTCTTCCTGATTGTGGTCAACTGGATCATGCAGAAAACCGTGATGTGTGAGTAGACGGGTATACACTGGCTGGACCGATGAAAAGACCCCAGAAGAAGATTTGCATTTCACCGACAACTTGTGTTTAATATCCCACAAAATCGAAGGTCTACAGACAAAAACCAACAAGTTAACAGAAGAAGCAGCGAAGACTGGACTTCAAGTGGATGTAGAGAAGACTGGGGTGATGAAGATACCCAACCAACAACAGCACCAACAACAAGCACCAATCACCATGAATGGGAGAAACCAAAACGAAGTCTTTTTCACCTACCTACCTACCTACCTACCTAGGCAGCGTCGTTTCAACTACAGGCGGTGGTACAGATGAGGATGTCGAAACCAGGACCAGAAAAGCAAGACAGGCTTTCACTGTGAAAATGTACTGCACTGAGCACAAAGAACAGGACATGGATTTTCAACACCAACGTTAACTCAGTGCTGCTATACGCTTCAGAAACTTGGCGTCACGAAAGGTATTTCTAACAAACTCCAGACATTCATCAACAGCTGCTGCCTACACTCACTCGATACTGAAGATGAGATCAGATGGCCAGAATAAGCAAGAAGGAACTCTGAACTGACAACGAACCAACCAAGAACCTATTGCCCAACAAATATGCAGAAGGAAGTGGAGATGGATTGGGCATACACTGCGAAAACCATTCGGAGACATCACGCTCCAGGCCCTCGAATGGAAGCCACAGGGGAAACGAGGAGTTGGGTGTCGGAGGGGAGGGTGATATGGAGGAGATCATGTGAGGAAGAAATGAAAGCTTGTGGGCAGTGATGGAGCCAGGTTGAGAAGACTGCAGAGAACAAAGTGGAATGGAGACATGTAACTGAAGAGTTAACTTAGGCAGACAATCACATTCGTAATTTGGTTCGTAGTACATAAATAGTAACTAGCTGTGTACTCATCAATTCGTTTGCTTTCACAAACAGAAGTTGATTAGTTAGTTCATTTCTAATACTTTATTCATCACACACAGACGAGATTAATACGGTACGGTATTGTAGAGATTTTATATTTTATAATACCTTCATAAAGTCTTATGTACTTGCTCCTTGTCTTTCCAGATGACTGACATGGTGGGAGCTTTGAGTGAAGAGAATGTTGGTCATCTGATAAAATAACACCTGTTAGATGTTAACATGAGTTAATATGTTTGTTCACAACTGTTTTAACTAGAAGATTTAGAGGTACATCATTATGTCTACTGACAATTATCAAAGTTCTACACAATATAGCATAGTCTTTTTTCAGCAACCCGGGAAAAAACAATGGGGAACAACAGAGGAAAACAGGCAAGATGAAGAAGTTTATAAAACACAAGGGGAGAGGCTGAGTAATACCGACTACTCTCAGCTTGCTAAAATAGTAGTAAGGTATGGGAAGACCAGAATAAAATCACACTTTTAAAATTCTCTAATGCTCAACCATCAAAAGAACAGGAATCATGAGATCTAAGGAGGTTACATAGGTCATGTTCATATGTGAAAGTAAAGTTTATAGTCTGATAATTTGAAGAATTAAGCGTAAGACCGTTGGTAACAATCTATTGAAGAGAAGACAGGTATAGAAACTGTCAGGTCATCAGCATACTTGATGAAATTAATAGTAGCTGAGGAAGGTAAGTGATGCAGAAAGAAAAAGGAAAGGCAGGGGGAAAAGACTTCTTTTTGGAGAACTCCAGTCACAGTAAGCACTTAGGCAGATCCCTTCCCTCTGTAAACAGTATGTTGTTTCCTTTCAGAGGAACAGGAATGCAACCAGTTGATTATCCAGGACTAAGTACTTGTCCTGGTTAACTTTACCAACGAAAGAGGTCTTGCAATAGAATCAAATGCCAAAGTATAGTCTAAAAAAACACATCTGACATAATTGACATTTCTATCAAGTTCACATTTTTGTTAAGCAAGTTAATACTAACTTGAAGTTACTAATTAATGTTTGCGTTAAAATTCAAACAACAAAATCTTTCAAATGTACGAAAATATGGCTGATTATCTTAAACCCTGGGCTTTCAAGGCGTAAATACTCGACTCAGTGTGGACGGTATTTCGCTAATTAATATTCACTCCCATACACAATATGATTGATCATTCGGGTGAATAAAAACATCTATAATGGCCTAGTTCTCATCATACTTATTATTTCATATTTCCTAAACATGATGCGCTTGATACACGTTTACATTATGTCTGCATTCTCGATGGCGACTTTGTATGTGTGTGTGTGTTTCCAACCAGTTCTTGAAATCATTCTCTGAAATTTACTAGTCAATAAACCTTTTTCCCATGACGATGTGATGTTTCATGATTATTTTACACTTTTTTTTCTCTTCTAGACTTCCGAAGAGATGACCCACCCAAAGTAGTTGATTTTGGATGGTCACGGGGAAATAAACGAAGTAATTGCATACTTTTCATTCTTAGTATTATGTATTGCTTCTTTATATACAATATTCTGATGAACTTCTTTTACTTTCCTTTTGTATTGTATATATACACAAACACATAGTCGGTTTTGAAAATACACCTTCTCATCGTGGTGCAAGTGATTTTGGCAGTCGAGGAGATCAACAATCATGGGTTCGAAGTGGGCCACGAAAAAGTAAGTTGGTTGGTTATGCAATGTATGAAGATTTATTTGTTCACTTTGATGATACGGCTATTTCACTGGTTATTACAGTACTACATCTATATATGGATGGCTTAACTTTAGCCTGTTGAAATTGTCCGATAGTGTGATTGTTGAACTGTATCTTTATTGCTGTTAAAAACTCTAATCATAATCTAAAGTGTGTCTGATTAACTTCAAAGTTTGATCTGTAAAGTACAGTGGATTTTCAAGTTTTGTGATTAAATAGTCAAACTGAAACCTAGGCGTTTTTTGATTGGTCTATTGGTGTTCTGAGAATGTGAGCCTCAAGGTCGTGGTTCACTTACCAATCAAAATTTGTGGATAAAGGTTGATCAGGAGCAAATCTTTTTATCATCTTATAGCTGTTTTGCCAAGTTTCGATTGTATTATCTTCTCATTTCCTCTTCTTGTCGCTTCATATCTTGATGTACTAATGTGAAGTTTATACTGTTTTACTGACTGACTGACTTACTTCATTAAGAGTGTAAAGTTGCTTCAGAAATGTTGACATCAACTCCAGAATCATAGGGAACCATGAAGGACTTTTTCATCCCATCAGTCAGTACCTAATTTCCTCAGAACAATGAGATCTTGTAGTATCCTCTAGGAGTATCTACTGTCAACATAATCCGCTTTTATGCCTTTAAACATTGTAATGAATCCAAGAATATCTTGTGATCAGTGCGCTTAGACTCCTCAGCATGGATCAGACCATTAGGTAAGAACTTGATGGATTCCTGATATTTCTTATTTTAACCACTTTCGGTTTTCATCCTTCTGGATTCTACTTCCGCTAAACGATCACTTCACTCTCTGTGCTGAAATTATGAATCAGTGCAGATCGATGTCGTCGCATTATATGACTTTTCATAGAAGCGAAATGCATGCCAAGCAATAGTCGTAATTTCCCGTGGTTTGTTCAAGATAATTTGCATTTTGTACAATTTAATCGGATGCTTTGTTGGTAACACATAATTTCTTTCGTTACAAAGTTAAACGAGGGCAGAGGTAACCTAATCAATGTGGAATCAACGCGTCAGTTCACGCTGAACACAACAGCATGCAAAGTGAAAGAAGAGACTGAACAAGCATATAAAGATTGAGGAATATCTTCAAAACTTTGAAGATAAACATTTGTTGACATCTGCACCATTGTTGCCGATTTCTAGCCGTGTCACCAAGGCTGTCTATTGTGCATCTCTGTACAAGGTTGAGACTATGAGTCAAAGATTTCGTCGACTGGTGCACACTCGTGAACTGACCTGCTTTCGTGTTCTTTCATTCTGAAAATACTTTTTCGGTGAATATTCCACGTCGTAGTAGGCCGATGGCTCGACTCGTGGTACACTTTGATGGATGTTAGTTGATTAGAGGCAATTGGCAGAAAGTCCTTGGCCTATCTTTCGTGCTAGTTAACTTTCGCCCTACGTAAAGCCAATCGCAGCCGAAATAGCTCAATGATAACGTCGGTAGCTGCAAATCTCACAGGGAATATCAGTTTCGTCGAGGTTGCTAGTACGCCTTGGTGATGAGTGCCGACAGCCACGAAAACTAGGCTCAGCATAACATTTTGCGGATTATTACTTACAGTGCTGTGTTAACCTCGTTTCACTTTTGTGTACCATCACTAGAGATTTAGCATACTACTGTTACATGTTTTTATGTGCTCTTTCTGTCTAGCGTTTAGTTGTTATTGGGGGTTATTCCGTTGTCAAATTCCTGAAACTTATTCAACTATCCATTTAGCAAATTAGGCATGTGAAAAAGCCAACCACTCACTTGATACTCCTATTTCTAATGTATATATATCAAAACATCTCTTTTATCTTTCAGCTATGCCTACAGAATTTGAGGCTGCTATACACGAAGAGGATACAAGTGGTGGTGGTTGGACATCGGTTGGATCGCGTAGAGGTAAGATGATATACGCTCAATTGCAAATCAATGCTAAGGATTCAAACGAGGAGTATGTGTTAACAGTTCTCAACATCCTATCATTTCTCAAAAGAATGAAACCATTTAATGGATAGGAATTACTGGTCCCATTCATTCATTTGACTCTGTTGTCATATGGACATTTATCTATCCTCGAACTGCTGAGATTTCTGGACAGTCATAATGGCAACGAGAAACTGTCAAATCTAAGAGATTAACTCACCTGTTGACTCTAAAGGGAGCATATTCACAACAACGCTATGTAACAGATTCCTTTTTTACTTCATATAACACTGAATTTACCTCATTGATAATGGTGCATACTTTAACGCGAACAGTATGTAAAACCCATTGCCATTGGTCTAGACTTCTTCAAATGTTTATTCCTCTGCACCACAACATCTAATTCTAATGGCGTAAATCTATATTGCTGTGGACGGTACCGCTTCATCACCATCAATATCAACATAGGACCAAGGCATTACTGCGTAACGGTCCGAGTTGCCACAGCTCATATCAGTATATCAAGTAAAAAGGTAGTGAAGCGAAAGATGAAGATAAGAAAATTCAGTCAAGAGAAATATAAAGTACGAGAAGAAAGGAAGGAAGAATGAGAAAATGGTGAGATTTGGTATAGGGTCGTTAAGATGAAGGTAATGTATGTATACATCTGCACCACTGACATCATTTCTGAACCATATTACCTAGAGTCTGCAGCCACTGGTTCCTCTTGTCCCGCGGACCCCAACCACCTAGTCTGCACCGTCCCACATGGCTCAAACCAACAGTCAAACACTTCCCTTCTGTACCATTCAAGACCCCCTAAAATATTGTAGAATTTTCATTATACATCAAGCCTGTAAACTGGCTTCTCTCATGTTGAATTCATAATCTGAGAATAAAATATTTAGAGGTAGTATTCGTCACGGATTGACATCAGTTAGGGAACCATTGAGAATCTGGGAGGACTGGACAGGTGTTTCGTCGTAGTATGGGGCTCCTGGTCAGTCCGTGAGGAATACTGCCTTTAAATACCTTACCCAGTTAGGATCTACCAATTTTGACCTAGCTGAGATTTTGTCCTCGGATACTCTGATTGTTTCTGATCGACTACTTTAACCCATGTATTTGACCTCACAATCAGTGCAGGACATTCGGTAAACTAACAAACTCGTTCGGAAACAAGCGAAAACAAACTCACTGGGATGCAGGTACATCCTGCTGATGAGTCCAAAATAGGACGAAATACGCGTCCGAGATCCCACTGCTAGCCACTACCCATCATTACCACAACTAAAATATCACATACTGTTGTGAAATTCTGAAGTGTTCCGAACTACTCGTTTTTCGAATGCATAAGTATACATCATGATTGTATTCGTCGGATACCCATCTCGAACAGTACATTCTTCCACTGGAACCTAAGGGAAAAATAATAATAATAATCAATGTATGCAACTTATCTATACTTATGCGTTGTTTACCCCCTTTCAATTTGTCTAAAATATAATCTTTTTTCTTGATTATGATTCATGTATTGTAGAAAGTGAAAGAACGCGATCATTTGGTAGAGGTGGTGGTACAATGGGTGCATTCAACCGAGGGTAAGTGAATCATTTCCTGTTGTTGCTATTATTATTACTGTTTGATATGCAATTAAATGCTATAACTGGTAATATGACCTAACCAGCCTACGAACGATAAGAGCCCCTAGCAGACTATGAACCACACGAACCTAATGCGCAAATGAATCGACTCTAATGCAAACTGAAAACGTCAGCTACTACCACAATACCACCGACACGAAAAGACAGACCGTTGACAGAGTGCCTTTAACTGTCTCAACAACAACAGTCAATACAGTTGACAGCGATGTTGAATATATACATTTCCAAATGACCTTGACAACATTTAATCTGCTTATGGTTGACAACCAATAGAAATTCAGCCTTGAGAGGAGAGGGAAGAAAAAGTAGTAAGGATGTGAAAACAGCCATGTAGGTTGTTTTTAGGTCATAAGCAAAACAATAGGCGTAAACTATGAGGAATTAGGGATATATAGCACTTAACTAGTCAGCATTACTTGTCAACAAAACAGCACTGCTATGAGACTATGCTGACGGTAGATATGTAACCCTTTTTGTGACATTGGAAACACTTATCTAGGCTCAATGAACTACTGATTCTTCGTTCTGTCATTGTTGAGACGCTTGCTATTCCGCGTTGTGTTATCTTGGATCGTATCAATCGATTTCTGTAGACATATGAGTTCCTAAGCTAGTGTCTTAATATTACGCGAATAGTTTATGATTATAACTGATTCCGAGGTGGCCAACAGTAGATCCCAAGACGCGCGTTTCGTCCTATTTGGGACTCATCAGTCAGCTGGATGTACCAACACTCCAGTAATTGTTAGTGTAATCTGTTGGTGTATGGGCTCCTATGCGGATGCCTCAATGTTTGTGTGCCTCTGTAACCTAACAGATAACACTCTAACGTTTGCAGCGATGAGTATATGATTCGAGTCCGTATGGTTACACAATCATTCAATAGGTTGCAAGTACGCTCAACTGAAAAGTGTTAAATAAGACGTAACGCGCGTCATGAACTACACTGCTAGCCACCGCTTAAGTTAATTATAAACAATATTTGTTGATCTCCAAATGAAAATATTGTTCACTCTAGAACGATAGTTAATACCAGTAGTGTTAAGGATTGTAATTTAACGTTATTGTATATATTCATGTTGTTGACAAGTTTATTCTTGGTTGCATTGTGTTCTCTCAGCTAGATTTTTCAGTTATGAAGCTTTCATCGTCTTTCTAGACGACATAACCAGCATCAACTTTAATATGAAGTGAGTTATCATTATCTCTTCATGAGTGATTCAGTAGCTTGCCCTGACTAACTGGTTTGTCATTGGTTGTTTCCTTCAATTGTTGTATCATTGACTGAATGGAGATTCCCGTTGGCTGTTTTTCTGCTTCACCTCTAACCTTCCTCTTGTTTATCATTTCTCTCATTGGTTGATAGATTGGGTCCATGTCTATACATCTATTGATTGCTGACTGACTGACATGAATGCCAAGCTTGTAGGAATTCTCTGATGGTATTCTTTGTGTTTCCTCTCTCCTTGCAAGATTTCTACATTGTCGAAATTGAATTCATGTCCATAGTTGTTATCCACGTGAATTGAACTGAGTGATGAAATGTCATATGTGACGTTTAATAGCTCGTTGCTGTTCATGAAGGCAAGGCGATTAGGGAGACCACTTTATCCAATGTAATGTTGACTACAGTTATTCCAGTTGGTTTTGTAAATGATATTCGTTTTTTCTTTGATCTTTGGTTGTTGCATCCTTTGGTCTGCATAATAATGTTTGTAGGGAGTTTGTTGGCTTATGAGTGGCCACACCAATTCCATGTGGTCACATTAATCTTGTTGTGATTTCTGATATATTCTTTATGTACAGTAGGATGATGCGTTCATTGATTTCTATCGATGACTTTGTAGTTGATGATGTACGGGATAGGTATCTTCTGAAAAGGTTTCGTGGGTAGCCGTTCTTCTTGAGGGTGTGGATATCGAGTAATTTTCTTCCAGTCTCCGTGAAGTTGTTGTGCTGCAGTGTGTTCTTGGTCTTTTGAATAGAGTCTGCAAGCAAATGATTTTGTGTGTTGTTGGGTTGTTGCTATTGTAGTTGAGGATTTGATCAGTGTGTGTTGGCTGCCCATACACTTGGATTTCCAGTTTCCCGGCATTTCTCATTTCGATAAACCAGGATAACAACTATGGACATGAATTCAATTTCGACAATGTAGAAATCTTGCAAGGAGAGAGGAAACACAAAGAATACCATCAGAGAATTCCTACAAGCTTGGCATTCATGTCAGTCAGTCAGCAATCAATAGATGTATAGACATGGACCCAATCTATCAACCAATGAGAGAAATGATAAACAAGAGGAAGGTTAGAGGTGAAGCAGAAGAACAGCCAACGGGAATCTCCATTCAGTCAATGATACAACAATTGAAGGAAACAACCAATGACAAACCAGTTAGTCAGGGCAAGCTACTGAATCACTCATGAAGAGATAATGATAACTCACTTCATATTAAAGTTGATGCTGGTTATGTCGTCTAGAAAGACGATGAAAGCTTCATAACTGAAAAATCTAGCTTAGAGAACACAATACAACCAAGTCTATCCACCTGTGCTACAAATATTCTCCACCATGACAAGTTTATTTCCACTGTCCTGTATAGAATCACTAACCTTTTTTGAACGAGACATAAAAAAAGGGAAAAATATTGTTTTCAATAAGTTCTTCTCCAGGCTCTGCAGTTATATTAATCCATGAGAATTAATAAAATACAATAACCAAAACAAGGTATGATGTACAATTTTTACTATATTAAAACAGTCAATGTTATGATCAGTGAAATGGAGGTAGATTAAATCGAAAGGAATGGTGAAACTGTCATCAGTTTGGTGTGTTAATTTTCCAATGAAATCAATATTAACAGAACAGTTACGAAATGTTGTACAAACTTCTTCTAGATAAAAAGACTATGATTATTAACTTGAATTCCCACAGTTTCTGATATATCTAGAAGAAGAGTTCAAATACTTTCCGAAAGATGCTGAAGATGTTATACGGTGAATAATCGTACAAGCATTGTTTCTATCTACCAAGTGACCACTATCAACAAGATGAGATGGAACCGAACTTCTGATGGATTTTATTTATCCCTTTTCCAACTATGAAGGTAGATGGTCAGCAGTATGTGTGTTTAGTTGTCTAGTAGTACGCTCTATATAGCTTTCTCTATAGGAGCAGCTAAATTTGTAAATACACATAGGAATGACAAAACTAGATACCTTATCGTTTATCATTTTGACTATCTGACTTGTCATCCCAATACAAGTGTGACTGAATTACAGAGGTGGGGGGGGGGTGGAGCATCATATTGATTATCATTATGACTATGTGACTGAAATAGCCCCGTGGTTTGGTAGACTAGTTTTATTGATACCGGATGATGATTGAAGGTGAAATGAAAATTTGGAAATTGGCAATCATCGGACCCGCGGTCCAGATTTCCACTTCACCTTCAATCATCACCTAGTATAAATTATTTGTATTAGAGTAAAGCCTGAAGAGGATATAATTGAAAATGGTATTGTTTTTTTGTATATCTTGTTGTAATTTACATGATGGGAATTTTTAAAACTAACCACTTTGTGTTGTACAATTATGATTTCTCTGAAATTGTTCTACACTTCATTAGTATCTTAGCTTCGATAAACGACTGTGCTTATATCCTTACTTCTATGTATGATCATTTATTATTTTGTTTTTAGATTTAAAGGTCCAGATACGGATACCAGTAGTAGTTCAACTCCTTGGCGTAGAGAGTAAGTCTTTTTCTATTACGTTTATTTTTGTAGATTGTTACCTTATCATCCAACCCCGCCCCACCTTGGTCCTCATGGGAAATATGACTTCATTGTATTATCTAGAACCCCTACTCAACAGTTCTATCGATTAAATGTTGAAATACACTGCATACTGTTTTGACAGTACTTCAAACATCAGTCATTACTGTATAGCACTTCAAGTTGGCACATCTCATGTCAGCACATTAAGGCAAATAAGTATAACGAGCAAGACAGTAGGCAAGTGTGGTAGAAAGTTGTGAAAAGGGAACAACAAAGAAGAAAACAATCATCCTAGGATCGTGGATACTACATTAGTCAAACTAATTTCCTTATAGTATCTCTTCCCACATAGACTTGGATGATCATTGAAGTAGAACAGTCTGACGGCAATACCTCTGGTTCTCATACACTGCCTAGTACGCGCTGCTTTGCCTCGTTTTAGGTGGACTGACATCTAAGTCCCATTCACATTCGAGCTGGCTGGATGTTAAGCAACTGTAGCGTAGCCGGGGACCAGTTGAACTGTGTTCAAGGTGTTCTGCCCAACGTTTTAGCCCGCTGTTTTGGGACGCTATGAGCGTTATACCCCTTTGAGTGATGGTCTCACTCATCATCGTCTTCTCCTTGCTGGTATCCCTAATAAGCCTGAATAGTTGCTGAGTGTTTCCCACAGATGATGCCCTCTCCATCTCTCTCGTTTTCCTTACCGACCAATGCTAGCGATCGACACGAAAACTTCATGGTCAATTTACGTTTTATTTGCTTTCGTTCTTCATCGCGGTCACAACCAACTGGAATCCGTCTTCTCGAATCTATCAGTTCGAATGACGTTGCGGAAATCCAGTGATGTTTGCTAACCTTCGGGTGTATGTTATCAATTGCCTTTGCCGCTGTTTCTACAACAGGATGAGCATTGCTGTCACGTTCTTATAAATTCTCAGCTAACTCCTTTCTAAATGCGTACTTGGTTTCCTCATCAACCAATGTAGCACATATGGGTTTCACCGCCTCTTGTTTCCTGCGACCTGTAAGGCAAAGACAGACTAGCGGTACTCCAGAAAAAGGAAATCCTCGAACAATGACTTATCGCAATTTTATCTATTTGTATCGTTCGTTGGTTTGAGTTTGGCAGACGTCATATGAAACTGGTGCTTGCCAAAAACACGTGATTGTCGCAATTAAATTGCAACAGATGATCACCGTTGTCGGTTCGCTGTCATGGGATTGGGTAAATATCTCCAAGATGCATTTCGGATTGGGTCAGCTTCCCTACTTGAGCGTTGAAGTCACCTTGCACTATGACTACATCTGAATGCTTTACCTTCTGTAGGGAAGTTGACCGGTTTTCATGGAATTCATCCTTTGTATCATCTAAAGTACAATCGGTGAGTATGTAGGCGGAGATTACGAGTAGTCATCGCCTAGTTTCACGATCCTTTCTACTCCCTACAGATCCACTCATTTGGACAGTACATACACGGGTTGTTCACTGTTATCCAGTTGAGAAGCTCACTTCCTGCTCTGCAACTTAAAGTTATGCCAACACCAAGGAGTTCACGAGAGTTAGTCATTTAGTCTCCGGACCCTATTATCTGAATTTTTGAGTTTCACTACTATTGCGGCTGTATGAGTTCAATCTAATAATCGCATTCGGGTCCTGTGTACGTAGACACAACATGCTTCCAAGGTCACGTATTCCAGAGTTTTGGCTAGCGATGCTTGCTGTCCGCTTTGGTGTAGGGTTCAGATTTTGAAAGCTCCAACATGAAATCGATGGTGAGGTCTTAGAAGACTAAGAATAAGGTTTCGATGGCTTTGTTTGATCGTTGACAGTGGTTAAAGATTGAGAGGTTAGACAAGTCGTAAGAAGCCTAACTTTAGCTTCAGAAGGTGAAGGCAACGGAGGAGATACAGTTAAGAAGTGTAAGTTCTGTTCGATTGGATCTTGTTTACCACCGGAAGCGTGCGTTGGATTGACACTTCCCAGCAGCTTACACCGTGGAAGTTTATTTCTTCCTTGAAAAAGAAAAGGATTTGTTGGAGGGCAGAGCCCATGGGACACTTGTCTGAGGCTTGTCATACATTGCCTTTTGCTGCAGGATACTGTTTCCAAGTTCTGTTGTTCATACATCGGAAAGAGAGAACTCATTCCACTGGTACCGAATGACCGTGGGGTATAGTGGAGTATGTTCTTTTTGAGGCTGACCTTTTCTGGGCTCTACGGCGGCATCAGCGTCGCACTACTGATCATCCAAGATGAACAACTTACTTCTGTCACAGCTCACTAAGCTAATAGCAGTACCACTTCGCCTTCAGACCACTATCATATTGTAGTAATTTCCACCATAATGACAATTGCTTTTCGTCTTACCACTATTCAACAGACATTCGTGATATGATTGGATCTCGAGAGAATAAGCGTTGCAGTCATTATTGCTCGTTGAGTCAAAGTATGAAAGGATTCTGTGTGCTCTCCTTACCAGCGCCGTCAACATTTTATATCTGGACGAAGAAAATTACTATAGACATCTGCACAGCATTGTCAATTTCGGAAATCAGACTGTCTCAACCCTCACGCTTTTCAAAACTCTACGCAAGCTTTTGACTCAAAGAAAAAATTGACGATTTCCTGTGTAGTTTTCATCAGTCTGTTCAGGCCACTTGGTTATTTTTTTTCTTGTTTTTAAACTTTAGTCTCATTTAATTCAACCCATTGCATAGAAATTCCTCAATATGTTGATAACTATATGGGTGTAAACAAGTCATGATGCATCGTTGTACTAAGCAGTTCTTGGTTACTACGCTGTGTACGAAGTGAGAGGTTGACGACCAAGATGACATCAAGGCTTTGAGCAGAACACCCATCCAAATCAACATAGGACCAAGGCATTCCTGCGTAACTGTCCGAGTTGCCACATCTCATATCAGTACATCGAGTAAAAAGGCAGTGGAGTAGGAGATGAAGAAAAGAAAATTCAATCGAAAGAAATAAAAAGTACTAAATGAGAGGAGGGAAGATTGAGGAAATGATGAGATATTGTATAGCGGTTAAGATCAGGATAATCTGCGCCACTGACATCGATTATATGGTTCATCACAGTCTCCAACCACTGGTTTCTTTTGTCTTGCGGACCCCAACTGGCTAGTCTGCATCGTCCTACATGGCTCAAACCAACAGTCAAGGATTTTCATGCATTGATGTTATGTTTAGTTTGGCCATCCCCTATACCTTTCTCCAACCTGATCCTACTTCGACCAATATTGTGTGATGAAGCAGATAGTGGTTTAGCATACGTTGCATATATCCCAGCCAGCCATCTCATTCGATCAAGGTTTACAACCGCATCAACTAACTTACCTCTTCTCTCTAAAACTCTACGCTTGACTTCTGCGTTACTCACGTGGTGACACCACGAAACATTATCTCTGATACGAAGTCTACAATGGTCAAACACCTGAAGCCTTCTTATGTCTTCCACCTTCAATGGCCAGACCAGATACATCAGACACTATGTTATTTCATGGTATCGCGAAATCAGTCTGTATGCATGCTGATTATTTTGGCCATTTACCTCACTTATTCACAATGAAGTGATTTAGCAAACTTTTGCTTAGTTGACACTGTGAAACTATCAATTCTCAACTCGGCTCAGGTATTAAATGTTTACTTTTCTCACACATAGCCGGGTAAATGAATTATCATAGCAATTGTTTATTTTCATTTTTTAAAATTACATTTATCTAGGGGTCCGAATGCCGCAATGAATACTAGCGCGGCGTTTGATGAAACAAGAGGCGGTGGTGGCATGTAAGTTTCTTCTGAATTGTTGTCTACTTTATTTATCTATGTAACGATGCAAGACACAAAGCCAGTTGTTCTTTGGAGATTCAGATTATTTAATTAAAGTGTGGCACATTGATGATGTATGGAAATATCTATATAACTGACACTTAGAACACAAACTTGCTGACATTGAAGACAGCTTGTCTAATTGAAGTCATATATTCATGTGTGACGATTATAGATAGTGGTTGTCAGTCTACTTTTCAACATCAGACGGTATTTGCTAGTAATTTCGCCTTGCATTCTTTGTCATTAATATATATATATATATATATATATATATATATATATATATATATATATATATATATATATATATATATATAGATAGATAGATAGATAGATAGATAGATAGATAGATAGATAGATAGATAGATAGATAGATAGATAGATAGATAGATAGATAGATAGATAGATAGATAGATAGATAGATAGATAGATAGATAGATAGATAGATAGATAGATAGATAGATAGATAGATAGATAGATAGATAGATAGATAGATAGATAGATAGATAGATAGATAGATAGATAGATAGATAGATAGATAGATAGATAGATAGATAGATAGATAGATAGATAGATAGATAGATAGATAGATAGATAGATAGATAGATAGATAGATAGATAGATAGATAGATAGATAGATAGATAGATAGATAGATAGATAGATAGATAGATAGATAGATAGATAGATAGATAGATAGATAGATAGATAGATAGATAGATAGATAGATAGATAGATAGATAGATAGATAGATAGATAGATAGATAGATAGATAGATAGATAGATAGATAGATAGATAGATAGATAGATAGATAGATAGATAGATAGATAGATAGATAGATAGATAGATAGATAGATAGATAGATAGATAGATAGATAGATAGATAGATAGATAGATAGATAGATAGATAGATAGATAGATAGATAGATAGATAGATAGATAGATAGATAGATAGATAGATAGATAGATAGATAGATAGATAGATAGATAGATAGATAGATAGATAGATAGATAGATAGATAGATAGATAGATAGATAGATAGATAGATAGATAGATAGATAGATAGATAGATAGATAGATAGATAGATAGATAGATAGATAGATAGATAGATAGATAGATAGATAGATAGATAGATAGATAGATAGATAGATAGATAGATAGATAGATAGATAGATAGATAGATAGATAGATAGATAGATAGATAGATAGATAGATAGATAGATAGATAGATAGATAGATAGATAGATAGATAGATAGATAGATAGATAGATAGATAGATAGATAGATAGATAGATAGATAGATAGATAGATAGATAGATAGATAGATAGATAGATAGATAGATAGATAGATAGATAGATAGATAGATAGATAGATAGATAGATAGATAGATAGATAGATAGATAGATAGATAGATAGATAGATAGATAGATAGATAGATAGATAGATAGATAGATAGATAGATAGATAGATAGATAGATAGATAGATAGATAGATAGATAGATAGATAGATAGATAGATAGATAGATGTGATTAGTCTCCATTGACTTATGAGCTTCTGCATGGATGCCTGGAGTGGAATGGAAAAAACTTCACTCATTCACTTGCTCGCAGTTATCTCCAGTTGACGAGTTTTATGTTGTTTCAAGTTGCATAACTTTTTTTAAACATTGTTTCGTATTTCATAGGAGACGACCTTTTGGTGGTGTAGGATTTCCTTCACGATTATCAAAGTAAGCTATTGTTGTGTAATAATGTTTACAGTATTGTTTGAAGGTATCTAAATTGTCTTTCAGTGTTCTTTTCAGTATGTTAGATTACTTTATGATGAGTGTACATAACAATTTATGTTTAATTTAAGCCTATGCTAGATAGATAGATAGATAGCGTTTGGAAGGAAGGAAATCTACCTAACCCGATTAGAAGAAGAAGGGCTTCCTTGTCAAACTCCTAAAGAAAAGTAACCTAAGGCTTTGTAAAAAAAAACAAGAACTGGTGCAGAATCATACTCCTATTCACTTCAAACAAAATATTAAGATGCATTATCCTGGAGAGATTTAAAAATGCTCTGGATTCAAAATTACAGCCGGAACATGTAGGTTAAAATAACCACAAAGAGGATAGTGAATTGGTGACGTGCTATTGAAGCCCTATATTCCACTAGGAACTCAAGCGACAAATAATAATCATCATAATAATAATATGCTATCATCCAATATAACAGCGTCACTTTATGTGTATAGGGTATACTGTCTCTGAACTTATATTCTCATGTGTTCATTTTCAGTGTTTCTCATTTGGTAGAATAATGAGGCATTTTACATTTTCATCGAAATATTTCTTTACAACATGAATTCATCTAGTTTGAGGCTATGACTGATTGGTATTTGACTAAGGATGATCTTGAACTAAATAGGTCATGGATTAGACTCGCTCCACCTGACGAGATTTGGGCGGCCGACTAGTAGCAGTGTAGTGGGCGTTACTGATAAGAATGGATATGAGTAGTATGTGTTAAGAGGGCGGCAGAAATCATAGGCAATTACCAGCAATGGATAAAGATTCTACCCAGATAAACTCAGAGAATGCAGGCGCACTAAGAACAAATCAAGATAGAAGCAGAAGAAGAAAATGAAGCACATTGTGAAAATGACTGTTTTAGTGGAAAGTCTACAATATTTGATGACTACTATACTACTGGGTGACCTTTGGCGCGGTTGCGACATACGTCAGGTTTACAACACTTCGGTGCGAGCAGTTTTGCTCTATGGTTATGAAACCTGGTCTCTTCCAGCTGAGGATATGCGACGACTCTGTGTTCCATCATTGTCGTCTCCGCAGGATTGGTCGTATCCGGTGGCGATAGCGTGTGTTTAAGCATTACAGAGATCTTCATTCAATAAGGTGCAGTGATCTAGGAACACCTACTTCGGAGATGTGTTGTGCAGGTCGCCCCAACGGCTTCCATGCCGTTCATTGTTTTCTAACCCTGGGACTGAATAGAAAAAACGCATGGGTGGTCTTTGTATGGTGTGGCACGTGGGGTGAAGGATCATTTTATTGGGTTAGGATTTGTAGTACTGAGAGACGCGTATTTGAATCTCAGTCGGGACGTTGTGGATATGCGCCTTGTTGATGAGGGCCAAAGATTGCGAAACCTGTGTCACCCAAAGCTTCCTGCCGGTTGTTTTCACCTAATCAACAAAAAAAGCTTTGGTCAAGTGAGAGACTAATTGCTGGATTTTATATTCCCCCGCATTACTTTGAGTATATAGTGGTTATCTCATATTGTTCACACTGTAGTCCGGGGTTTATGTACACACATACTCACCATCAAGTTGTTTCCACTTTTTTTGAGTAAATTTGTTTTTCTAGAGAGTTAATAATAATAATAATCTGCTCATTTTGCCTTTTCATTTTAGTACAATATCTGAAAATAGAAAAAATTAACGGAACAATATTTTTCCCTATTGTGCTCACCTGCAGTTGTCTTAACTCGGTCTCTGTCTCTTTTTTCATCTCTGTGTGTGTGTGTGTGTGTTTGTTTGCTAGCGCCCGCCTTCAGGTGATCTAGATGACTATTCTGAATAGTGTTCGGTGTACACTGACTATATTTTGGATGTTTGTTTACTTGTGTGAAATCGATCTTCTTTCAGTTATTCTTATATTACTACTACTACTACTGCATTGTATTATGATTTCATCCGTTCACTTATCATTATCATCAATGATTCGATGGGTCATCATCGTCTGTCAATATTGGTTTGTTCTTTTTTCATTGAAAAAGATATTGACCATAATAATAATAATAATTTTGAAAATGCTAGAACAAGTGATAAAGATGGATAAGTATAAGATCTGTGTTTGTGAATTGAAAATAAATCTCTTCTTGGTGGTATATAAAAAATAGGTTTTATTTAACTGTTCAGGTGCTCAGTGAGACGCTTGTGAGTTTCATTGACGTTTGCGAATGATGATCCATAGGGTGGGGTGTAATGTTTAGTGGATCAACGATTTGTATTTTCATCAGTGGTTTTGCTGTGACTGTGGCATTCGTTTTGTCATCGACGATCAGCCTGTTTCACTGACAAGCAATTGCGCTGGAAATATTACCTTTCATTATTTTTCGAAGGCCTATAAGTAGTAACTCAATAAGGAGTTATCGTCTGGGTCATGAGTTCATTGCTCAGATGTTCACCTTACATACACACAAGTGTGTCCATTCAAGTTGCCATACTCTACAGAGTAGCATGCAAAGAAAAAGGCTGTTATCGAAATAGACAATAGTGTATGGGAAAAAGTATCGAAATGGGAATTAGTTATAGCATCAAATCGTGAATACGTCTGCTTTTTTTGTGACTGGTTTCCACCCATCTCACTAAAAGTCTACCATGATTGATTCATATGGTTCCCACTTTCCTAATCAGATAACCTACACGTTACTACATGGGTAGAGACTTCACGGACTCGTACCATATCTTGGTTTAACTGCCTTCAGCATTTTCATAACTTCACAGCATTACGCACTCACACAAGATTTGCAACACAGTTTTATCGATTGGCATTAGTACTGCTCACACTGTGATCCCATCAGACGTGTATAATGTTAGGATGGCTTCTATGGTCGAAAACTTTTGATAGCCATGTCTCACAGCCGTACACCAAGACGCACTTGAGGCCGGTCACATACGACCTTTTTGAAGCCGTTTTTGGATCACCACTGATCATTTCATTGTTTAAAAACATGTTTAGGGTGACTTCTTTTCGTCTAATCACTATTCAAAGGACATTTCTGGTACGGTAGGATCTCTAGGGAACGAGACTTTCATCAGCGTGGCTCGTTGGGTCATCGTGATATACAAGCCCGACTACCGCGTCAACATAGTAGCTATCAGTCAGGATTTCAGTAAAGAGCTCTGAATAGCATTACGTACACGCTTCTTCCCTAGTCTGGCAATGCCACAACTCACGGTCAACAAAGTAGAATACCGCCTCCAGGTTAAGGAATACTATCTATACCAACGTGAACGGACAGGTAGCCTGCGATACTAGTGGGTACGGAATGTTTGATCGCACTGAAACAAACTAAGTAAATATATGGTGCTGATGAATAGGCAGATCCATACAGTATTTTATTTTGTATTCATGAATAGAGATCATAGCAATAAGACTGTACTGTTTGACGAATGCATGAACTGTGTGGTCAGCATCAGATTACGTCACCAGGATTCACCAACTTCTTTAGCAATTCCAATACCCTGTTTGCCATAATCACCTTTCCCACCAGCCTGCGTCCTTTTTTTCATATTTGTTCACTTGATAACGATGCAACACCAACCTGTTAGTAATTACTATTTGTCCCCTGGGTTTCTGGTGTTACAAGGGATTTAGTAGTACGTCTCCATTTCACTCTGTTCTCTGCAGTCTTTTTAACCTGGCTCTACGGCTGCCCACGAGCTTTCATTTCTTCTTCACATGATCTGCATGTCACCCTCGGACGTCCAACTCATCGTTTTCCCATTGGACTCCATTCAAGGGTCTGGGGCGTAATGTCCTCAGTCGGCCTTCTCGGTGTATGCCCGACCCAATCCATCTCCACTTTCTTCAGGTTTCTTCCATTGATGGCGATTGATGCTGTTGCTGGTTGGGTATCTTCATCACCTCTGTCTTCCATACGTTCGCCTGAAAGAAAGTGTCGTCTTCCTTTGCTGCCTCTTCGTCAACTTGTTGAATTTCGCCTGTAGATCTTCTGGTTTGTGCGATATTAGACACAAATCATCGGCGCAATCCAAATCTTCTGGAGTCTTTTCATTGGCCCAGCCAGCGTATACCCGTCATCTCGCAAATCACGGTTTGCTGCATGATCCAGTCAATCATAGTCAGGAAGATCATGGGTGAAAGTAGGTGGCCTTGTCTTTCTCCTGTCTTAACTTCAAAGGAGTCACTGGGCCTTCCATTGTGGATCACTAGGCATATGGCGTCGTCATATAGCTGTTGATAAAGATTTGTGACACTAAAACTGTAATGTTTTGGTAACCGCCAAATTAATTGTCGATCGGCGCTGTCAATGGCCATTATAAAGTCGATGAATTTGAGGCAGAGAGTTGGCTGACATTCTATACTCTGTTCTATGAAGATGCGTAGTGTTACATTTTGGTACGCACATGATTTGTTCTTCCTGAGGCCAGCCAGCCTGTTCCGGTCTTAATTTTGAATCCGGTGCAACTTTTAGTCTCCGCAGGATGATGCGGCATAATATTTTGCTTATGGTGGACAGGAGCATGATTCCTCGTCAGTTTTTTCAGAGTCTTCGGTCTCCCTTCTGTGGAGCCTGTTCTGATTCCCTTGCCAATGTTTTGGTCGTAGAAGTGTCTTTGCGCGCACTCTTCCTCACTTCTTGGTCCATTGTCTTATACGTTGTACTCGCTTCTTTTCGTTGTGCATCCTCGAACGATTCATCTTCCTCTCGTCTACCAGCTTCTATGTGTTTGTCGAGATCTATCGCTTGTCTTGTTTCCTCTTCCTTCCTTATGCAGGTTTCTTTCCACATCTCTTCCAAAGAGTTCCAGTGTTCTACAACGCAGGTCTCCACAGAGATGTTGCTCAGTATCTCCCATTTTTTCTGATGGCTGACGTGAAGATGTTTGTAGTTTTGTCCTTCAGTTTCTGTTCCGGGCGTTGAACTGTGACTTATCACCAACTCCTTTGAATGCTTTCGACTTTATTTTGAAGTCAGGTTCCTTGCACTAGAAAGTGTGTGGTATGAACCTACATCTGCTCCCTTTCTTGACCTTGGTCCAGTCGGTTACGTCTCCACATTCTTGGTATTGGGATGAAGTCAATCTGATTTTTAGTGTGTTGTGGTGCTTGATGAGATGCATTTTGTCTTGTGAATATACTTGTGTTTGTACACAATGCCTCCGATCACCAAATCGTTGGGTGCGTAGAAATCTGCAAACAGTTCTCCATTCTCACTCATCATTTCAACGAGTGCTTTTCGACCCACGGTTGGTTCTCTTCCTGTGTTTTCAGCTCCTCGCAGTTCTGCATTCATGTCACCCCACCCGTAAGAACTTCGATGTTGCCAACTGGGTTGTGGTTTTGTCTATTACTGATTGCAGTTGTCTGTAGAATTCCTGCTTTTTCTCTTGATCTGCATTATTTGTAGGTGCCTAGCGTAGCATTGTATGGTCGCTGCTTTCCTTCATTTTGAGTTGAACCTTGCAGTCATGATGCTTTTACATCACATTCGTGAGGGTTCAAGAATCCACAGTGAGGCAAATTTTAATAAATGAGTAGCAGGGATTGCTAAGATCAGCTTCTGTAAGACAAAGAGGAAAATTGAGAATGACTCGATCCAATTTATTCTAAGTTGCAGCGTTTAATAAGATGTAGCCATGGAAACAGTGAATAGTTTAAACGTTTGAAAAGGAAGACCACTGTCAGAGAAATTTACTATCCAATCTTAGAATAAATGTCCACCAAGTGTTCAACGTCGCTGGAAATTCTGAAATCCAGCCACTGCCCTACATAACGAGGTGCATTACTCTTCAGTCCAGTATGATAATATGTTTCTTAACCCATGACTCTTGCTTAACACGAGCAACGCCTTCGTAATACGTCACGAATACAGCTAGGCAACTGAGGAAATTCTTCACGCAAAATGACGTCAGCGTTTGCTTGTGTGATGTTTGTTCTCAGCATAATACTCATAACAATCTTTATTATACCTTCTTGTTTACTTTCAGCCTTGTCTACAGATGTAGTAGGTACATAAGTAACTAAGTGTTGTGTGTATAAAGTTAGTGTTGATAAATGCCGGTATCACTCCCGTTGGCAACTGAAATATGGCTGCAGTGAACGGCATACGTAGGGCTCAAACGTTCGACAGTCACATCCGGTTATTTGTTAATATACTACTACTGAGAACCAGTTCGATGTCCTCAAGAGACTCCTTCATTCTTCTACCGTACTTATCAGAAATGACCTTATGAAATCGTTCTCATCGTCTACAAAACGTAGACCAGTGACAATGCACATGCTTCCGTGACAATCTTTTAATAAAAGATACGTCTTTAAAATCCTGATACCATTGGATAAGGAAAATGGATCAACGGTCTATCCGACGGATATATGCCACTCACCTCTATGGTGGACATTGAAATGACGGAATGCATGAATAAAAGTGTTTCTAATGAACTTAAACAATCGCATAATTACTGAATTCTTTGCATAATTTCATACTGAAATTCTCCTGAAAAAAGCTGCGACAGAACTGTCAATCAATTTATTCCGAAAAGTTCTCCAGATGGTTCTTGTAGCTGCGCTGCGGCTTCTCTATTTTTCCCCCGTATATCTTCTGAAAATCTACTCTTCTCCTTCAGCCTTTCATAGACGGCGTCCCCATCATTGCCCAGTTTTCCCCCTTCAATTCCCCTGTACTATCTATT